CCATTGATTAAAGACCACCTGAGGCCTCAATTGATTGATTGGTAAATAGATTGATACTTCTTTCTTGCGACAGATAGTAAGAGTGTGTGATTTAGAGGGGCTTTTAAGCACCAGATCTGTACGAGGAACCAACGGACAGCGACACCAAGGCATAAGAGATGCCTTGAAGGTTCAAAACATGCAAAAGAGAGAAGGGCGCATCGCATTGATTATCGTGATTGGAAGGCTCCATGGAGACGGAGCGTATGCTTCGAGCAGAATCTCGGAACGCATGCAGAAATGCAAGAAATTGGATTTCTTGGGTGGGAAAATCAAGGGGACGTTGGCAGACGGCGTGCCAGGAAGACAGGAAGTGGGATCGTACACAAAGGAGGTGGAAATCAACCGGGATAGATTGGGAAGGGGTGCCACGAGCCCCTCGCTCTGCAACTCACTCTTGCAGAGGAAGGCAGAGGCATGCAGCTCGCAAGATACTCACCCACAACCACAATCTCCTGGGATCGGGTTTCACTGCGTCCGGTCTGGTTGTTGGAAGCCGTGCAGTTGTAGAAGCCGGTGTCCTTCAGAGTCAGGTTAAAAGGTTCCAAGTTGCTCCCTTGGAAGACTTTGCCGTCCCCGTAATGCCAAGTGTAGTTCGCAGGCGGGTTGGAGTCCGCACTGCAGGAGAGGCTGAGCAGGGCGCCCGATTCGTAACGCGTTTTGTCGGGGAGGATGAGGGGGACGTCGGGCCCATCTGGAGCGGACACAGGAGAGCAAGGTGACCGGCCTTGGAAGGGTCTGGAAGGGACTCAAAGGAGCACCAGGGACCCCCCAAGGTCAGGCCATCCAGTCCAACCCCTTTCTGCCAGGCAGGACGACACCATCAAAGCCCTCCCAGCAGATGGCCATCCAGTTTCTGTTGGATCATAGAACCCAAACGTTGGAAGAGACCCCTAAAGGCCACTTTCTGCCAAGCAGGATGACACCATCAAAACTCTCCCAGTAGATGGCCATCCAGTTTCTGGTGGATCATAGAACCCAAACGTTGGAAGGGACCCCTAAAGGCCATCCAGTCCAACCCCTTTCTGCCTGGTAGGACTACACCATCAAAGCCCTCCCAGCAGATGGCCATCCAGTTGCGGTTGGATCATAGAACCCAAGCATTGGAAGGGACCCCTAAAGGCCATCCAGTCCAACCATTTTCTGCCAAGCAGGATGACACCATCAAAACCCTCCCAGTAGATGGCCATCCAGTTTCTGTTGGATCATAGAACCCAAACATTGGAAGGGACCCCTAAAGGCCATCCAGTCCAACCCCTTTCTGCCAGATAGGAAGACATCATCAAACCTCCCCCAACAGATGGCCATCTAGTTTCTGGTGGATCACAAAACCTGAAAGTTGGAAGGGACCCCTAAAGGCCATCCAGTCCAACCCCTTTCTGCCAGGCAGGAAGAACCATCTGATCCCTCCCGACAGATGGCCATAAATCCTAAAATGGAGTTGACTCTCAAGGTCATCCAGTCCAACCCCTTTCTGCAATAAAGGGTGGCACCATCAAAACCCTCCCGACAGATGGCCATCTAGCCTCTGCTTAAAATCCTCTAGAGAAGGAGGCTCCACTACATACACCCTTTGCATTCAAATCAATCTGGAGTTTTCTGTTGACCAAGTATGGAAATGTTTTTTCTGGAGATGCCAACTTTGGCACAGAATTGGCCCTTGAAGCCCGTTTTTGATGTTAATTTGCTCAAGTGTGCTGGGACCATGGGCAGAACGGGAATGAGGGGCTCTTCCGAAACTAAAGGCACTTTGATGAAAGCCAGGGATGGTTTGCAATATAAGAAGCTTGGGTTCTCTTCAGGACACATTAGTATCAATATTATTATTATTATTATCTTTTAATTTCCCTTGAATTGCAAAATATTTGAATGCTCAGACCATATTATTATTATTATTATTATTATTATTATTATTGGTTTTTGATTTCCCTTGAATGCTCAGACCATATTATTATTATTATTATTATTATTATTATTATTGAATTATTATTATTATTATTATTATTATTATTACTACTACTACTATTTTGCCATTGAGACTGTAATGCGCTTATTATTATTATTATTATTATTATTATTATTATTATTACTATTACTATTTTGCCATTGAGACTGTAATGCACTTATTATTATTGTTGTTGTTGTTGTTGTTACTATTTTGCCATTGGGACTGCAATGCGCTACAGCTGAGCTAAAATGGGAAGTCCCGCCACCTAGTCGGATGTGGGCTATTTTGGGGAACCCGTGGCTACGTGCTCTTGAGTCACTTGTGGAAAAGGCGGTTGGTGGGTGCCCAATGGGAAACTCTTAGACGCGGGAAATGCCTCCGCAGAGAGAAGGAACCGAGAAAAGGCCAGGTTTCTAAAAAGACCAACGGCATCTCGGAATTGGGTTGGAAAGATCAGGTTTCTTTATGGACAGTCTCAGGTCAATGGCACCCATTTCTTGGGTCAGGGGTTATCACCTGAGATTTGGCACCCAGGAGAGTCAACATGAGGGGTATTAGATGTGGAAGTCCTGGCTTTAAGAAGGCATACCTCCTCAGTATGCCAAAATATGAGGCATCTATACCAGGCACGGGCAAACTTGGGCCCTCCAGGTGTATGGATCCATCCCATATTCTCTCTCTCTCTTGCTCTCTCGCCAGCCAGCCAGCCAGCCAGCCAACTATCTCACTCTCTCCATACAGCTATCTCTTTCTTCTTCCTTCCTTCCTTCCTTCCTTCCTTCCCTTCCTTCCTCCTTCCCTTCCTTTCTTCTCTCTATCACCCATCCATCCAGCTATCTCTCCTCCATCCAATCCATCCATCCATCCATCCATCCATCCATCCATCTATCCAGCTATATCTATCTATCTACCTACCTACCTACCTACCTACCTACCTACCTACCTACCTATCTATCTTAAACAGAACAAGGTTTAACTAAATTTCACCCCCCTATCTATCTATCTATCTATCTATCTATCTATCTATCCATCTATCCATCTATCCATCTATCCATCTATCCATCTATCCATCCATCCATCCATCCATCCACCCATCCACCCATCCAGTCATCCTATCTATCTATCTATCTATCTATCTATCTATCTATCTATCTATCTATCTATCTATCCATCTATCCATCCATCCATCCATCCATCCATCCATCCATCTATCCATCATCCATCTATCTATCTATCATCTATCTATCTATCTATCTATCTATCTATCTATCTATCTATCTATCTATCTATCTGCCAGTAGGCTGTTAGGAATTGTGGGAGTTGCAGTCCAAAACACCTGGACCCGAGTTTGCCCATGCCTCCTCTACACTGTAGAATTAATGTAGTTTGATGCACTTTAATAGCCATGGTTCAATTACATGGAATGGTGGGAGTTGTAGTTTGGCGAGGCACTAGCTTACACTGATACAGAAGGCCTTGCAAAACTACAACTCCCAGAATGGCGTGGCCTTGAGTTAAAGTGGCGTCAAACTGCATTCATCCTGCGGTGTGATGCACCCTGAGCAATACAACGACTTGGACGTGGAGGTCACGATATCAGAAATGCGCCTGTGTTTGAATTATGCACATTTGGAAAATGCAGACCGCGGTAAAGGTCAGTATTTGTCAATCTTGGGGTTATCGCTCTACTTAAAATCATGTATTAGGATTTACTTCCATGATGGCGAACCTACGACACGTGTGTCAGCACTGACACGCGTAGCCATTTTCGATGACACACAGCCGCATGCGGCCGCACACAGAGAAGACTATAAATATCATGAAATTATGGGTTTTTCTCGAAGTGACACCCCACTCGAGTTATGCTCGTTTTTTTTGGCGAGTATTGACACACCAAGCTCAAAAGGTTGCCCATCATTGATTTACTTAATTATTATTATTATAATCATTTTTATTGTGAACCATGTTATGGGTCAGCATTTCTTTACCTTGGAGTTATTGCTATTGTTTATTGATTAATGATTAATGTTTGTAGACTGTTTGCAAGCCATCTTGGGTCTGCGTTGCAGAGAAAGGCGAAATAGAGCATGGGGAGCATTACTTCCCTAGATCTAGACACTGTGGGAAGTCTGATCTGGCCACAGTGGTCCACGCTCTTGTTACATCCCGAATAGACTACTGCAATGCACTCTACGTGGGGTTGCCCTTGAAGACTGTTCGGAAACTTCAACTGGTCCAGCGAGCGGCAGCCAGATTGCTCACCGGAGCGGCATACAGGGAGCACACCACCCCCCTGTTGTGCCAGCTCCACTGGCTGCCGGTTCAGTTCCGAGCACAATTCAAGGTGCTGGTCTTAACCTACAAAACCCTATACGGTTCTGGTCCAGTGTATCTGTCCGAACGTATCTCCCTCTACGTCCCACCTCGGAGTTTGAGATCATCTGGGGAGGCCCTGCTCTCGACCCCACCACTCTCACAAGTGAGGCTGGTGGGGACGAGTAGCAGGGCCTTCTCAGTGGTGGCCCCTCACCTGTGGAACTCACTCCCCGGGGAAATTACGGCATCAACATCCCTCCTCTCCTTCAGGAGGAAAGTAAAGACGTGGTTGTGGGACCAGGCCTTTGGGCAATCTGACAACTAGATAAGGACAATCAAACGACTAGGACTGACAGGACTGACAATGTGGAATTGGAATTTGGACTATGAGATAGCGAACACTGACCATCTATGAGGAGTAATTGGGTTTGTATTGTTTTATTGGTTTTATGGTTGTAATGCAGGAATTGTTGTTTAACTGTTCAACTGTTTAATTGCTATAATTGCTGCTTTATTGTTATTGTCTTTTGTTATGTGAATGCGGCATCGAATTGTGCCTTGCTTTTGTAAGCTGCCCTGAGTCCCCCCCCCCCCCGGGGTGAGAAGGGCGGGGTAGAAGCAACCGAAATAAATAAATAAATAAATAGACACTATGCTCCTCTTGATGCAGGCCAATGGGATGTTGTCCTGCATCAAGAGGATCCAAGTGCCTAGATCCAGGGAAGTCATGCTCCCCATGCTCTATTCCGCCTTGGTTAGACCACACCTGGAATATTGTGCCCAATTCTGGGCACCACAATTCAAGAGAGATATTGACAAGCTGGAATGTGTCCAGAGGAGGCGACTCAAATGATCAAGGGTCACGCCCTATGAGGAGCGGCTTAAGGAGCTGGGCATGTTTAGCCTGAAGAAGAGAAGGCTGAGAGGAGATATGATGAGCGCCATGTATAAATATGTGAGAGGAAGCCACAGGGGGGAGGGAGCAAGCTTGTTTTCTGCTTCCCTGGAGACTAGGACACGGAACAATGGCTTCAAACTACAAGAGAGGAGATTTCATCTGAACATGAGGAAGAACTTCCTGACTGTGAGAGCCGTTCAACAGTGGAACTCTCTGCCCCGGAGTGTGGTGGAGGCTCCTTCTTTGGAAGCTTTTAAACAGAGGCTGGATGGCCATCTGTCAGGGGTGATTTGAATGCAATATTCTTGGCAGAATGGGGTTGGACTGGATGATGGCCCAGGAGGTCTCTTCCAACTCTTGGATTCTAGGATTCTATGACTGTGAGAGCCGTTCAGCAGTGGAACTCTCTGCCCCGGAGTGTGGTGGAGGCTCCTTCTTTGGAAGCTTTGAAACAGAGGCTGGATGGCCATCTGTCAGGGGTGCTTTGAATGCAATATTCCTGCTTCTTGGCAGAATGGGTTGGACTGGATGATGGCCCACGAGGTCCCTTCCCACTCTAGGATTCTATGATTCTATGACCTATCCTAAATAACTCAATACATGGGACCCAAAGTGGCTCTGGATGCCCTCTTTGAACGAGGAGTTACCCAAACCCAAGTCTTCCCATTCGCTTCCAACCTCCCTAGGAGAGCACAACCCGGACTTACATAAAACATTGAGGAAATGGGTGCTGCTGCTACTAGAAAGGCTGTTATTAGCGTAACAGGTGTAGTTGCCGGAGTCTGACCAGTGCGTTTTGTTGAACGTTACATTGCGGTTATTGTCGCTCAAGGAGATGCGATCGTTGCTTTCCAAGATCTGGTCCCCTTTGAGCCAGAAGTAGGAGACCTCGGTGCCCTTTGCGGCACTGCAGTTCAGGGTCACTACGTCATTTTCCTCGGTCTTAAGTGGGAGTACTGGTGATGGAGACGTTTCTAACGGGTTCTGCGGAGAAAGAAAAGGGGGAAGAAGGGGAGGGGTGGGGGTTATCCAAAGGAGAAGTCATGGCACTCGATCCGGAGTCTCGTTTTGGGAAGAGATGCACCAACAGGATCCGGTGAAGCGCCTCCATTTCTAAAGCCTTGCTAAAACACGGGTGCAAACAACTGGAGCTTGCACGCTTCAGACCTTCTTTTGCTCCGAGAGACAAAACGGAATCGACGGTGAAATGGATATTAAAGTTTTCTAAAGTTGCAGAAACGTCAATAAACCCCAACAAACCCACCAGGATTGTGGCGCAGCTGGCTGAGTGTCAGCTGCATTAAAGATCACTCTGACCAAAAAGGTCATGAGTTTGAAGCCAGCCCAGGTTGGAGTGGGTTTCCAACCAATGTACAGGACGCGTACAGACTTCTCCTGTACAAAGGTTTCAACCATTAAGACTTCCCGGAGGGAGAACAGTCTTAAGAGCTCTAAAGCTCTGAGGAATTTCAGAAGGAAAAACAGCTTTGAATATCTAAGAACTCCAGCTGAAGTGACTACAGGCCTACTGGTAGGTCCACTCGGTGCTTTGAGACGCAGTTCAACCCGGTAGTGGAGCCCACATCAGTTAGGTTTAGGTTCACAGTCAGCCTGGGAGAAGTTTGGAAAGGGATTTTCCTTTAGAGTAAAGTAACAGTTAGAAGCCACCAGTTGCAAAGCCTGGAAGCATTTGTTTAACCTTTTGAAGACAAAAGAAGTTTCTGTTGATTGTTCACTGTGACGATGTGTAAGTTTTATTCCTTTGGTTATGTGTAGTTTGGACAGTGGTTTAGGGATGGTAAGTATGGGAGATTATGTTTTGTTGGAGATGGTGGCTTGGCGTTAGCTGAGTTGCCATAGCAACAGGGGCGGAGCCAACTGCCTCTTCAGGAGGCAGCTGTTTTAAAAAGTCAGTCAGTAAGCCGGTGAGCTACTGAGAGGACTGAGTCTCTGGGTGGAGATTCAGGGAATGTGTCTGTAGCCGGTGTGCTATAGGAAAGACTGAATCTCAGGGTGGGGATTCAGGGAATCAATTGGTGACCAAAGTGGTTGCAGAGAAGGACCCGGTAGTGGGAGAGCTACAGGGGGTTGTTGATTCTAAATTAAGAATCAAGGTTTGGCTGGGTTTAAGCCTGCTGTGCCTGCTGTGAAACGTTTTGAAGTCTGTGCCTGAGATTACTCATGAAACCTTTCCAATGTAACCATCAAGATTTGTGCCTCTTTTGAAGAAACAGTTAAACATGTTATACTCCTGTTAAAATAAACTTGTTACTGTTTTCCTCAAGCCTTGCCTGATACAGTTTCTCCTAAGTTGAACAGCCTGCAATAGTAAAGTCAAGCCAGGAAAGTAAACACTACGCTATCAAGTGAATAAAGCCTTCTGTAATTAACGGTCCCTTTATAAAATAGCTCCTAGGTTGATATTGATCATTGCCCAGCTTCCCTCATAGATTAGGTGGCAGTGGGTGTTTTACCACACGCACCTTCACAATTGGTGGCAGCAGTTTAACAACTCCTTCACATTCACCAATAAAGACTTCGTTATATTTCACAAGCCCTCTAAAGACTGTTTATGGTGAAAATCCTTAAGAATTTCTCTTCAGGCCCCCTGGCTTCCCACTGGGCTAAAGTTGCACGTCCTGTTTTAAAAGCAATTCGTTTCAAGCCCAGCGCATGACAGAACACCCCTCCATTCCCTCTACGTCTCCCAAGAAATGGTGCCATGGCGTTCATCAACAGAAGAGCAAGACCAACCAAAGAGCGAGAAATAATCACACATTTTGCCACCGTCCACCAATGGAAAGCCAAGCAAACACTCAATATTTACTGAAGTGACAGTCAAGGTGCTGATTCAGACAGACGGAATGATTTTGTGCTTTGCCAACGACGAATAAATCTCACAACAATCGCAAAATGACACAGAGAGGAGTCCAAAACCCAGACGTTGCAAACCTTTGGAGCGAACCAATGACAATCAAGAGCCCAATGGATTGTGGCACCGGGATTGTGGCGCAGCTGGCTGAGTGTCAGCTGCATTAAGATCACTCTGACCAAAAGGTCATGAGTTCGAAGCCAGCCCGGGTTGGAGTGGGTTTCCAACCAATTGTGTCTAGCCTGTTGTCGACCTTTGCAACCCGAAAGACAGTTGCATCTGTCAAGTAGGAAAATAAGGTACCACCTTAAAGTGTGGGGAGGCTAAATTAACTGATTTATGAGGCCATAAAGAAGACTCCAGCAAAGCATTCCAGTGGGGAAGCATGCGGGGAATGCGGAAGTGCTTCATCAGCCCGGGTTGGAGTGGGTTTCCAACCAATTGTGTGTAGCCTGTTGTCGACCTTTGCAACCCGAAAGACAGTTGCATCTGTCAAGTAGGAAAATTAGGTACCACCTTAAAGTGTGGGGAGGCTAAATTAACTGATTTATGAGGCCATAAAGAAGACTCCAGCAAAGCATTCCAGCGGGGAAGCATGCGGGAAATGCGGAAGTGCTTCATTAGCCCGGGTTGGAGTGGGTTTCCAACCAATTATGAAGCCTGTTGTCGACCTTTGCAACCCGAAAGACAGTTGCATCTGTCAAGTAGGAAAATTAGGTACCACCTTAAAGTGTGGGGAGGCTAAATTAACTGATTTATGAGGCCTCCAGCAAAGCATTCCAGCGGGGAAGCATGCGGGGAATGCGGAAGTGCTTCATCAGCATCGCAGATGGACGATGAAAGCGACAGCTCCCCTGGCGGCCAGAAAAAGTTAAATAGCCTCTGTGTATGTCTGTATATGTTTGTATGTCAAAATTGCCATATATGTGTACACTGTCATCCGCCCTGAGTCCCCTGCGGGGTGAGAAGGGCGGAATATAAAGCTGTAAATAATAAATAAATAATAAATAAGATGGATGGATGGCATCCTTGAAGACTGGACTGACCTTGAAGGACTGGCATGCCTGGCCGACAGGGAGCTCTGGCGTGGGCTGGTCCAGGAGGTCACGAGGAGTCGGAGACGACTGAACAAATGAACAACAAGATTTGGGGACACAAAAGCAAACCCTAATTTGGAGAACAACGTGAGCAAAAAACCACACCGGAAAAGTGGAATATTGATTGAAAGACTCCAGAAAGAAGCAGAATCTTCGCGTTTGGTGGGACGGCTGTGCAGCGTTCCGTGGAAGGCAAGCGGCTTCGGAAAAATCATTCTGGATAAGAGGACGATCATTTGCAAGGAAGGAAGCCAAGGACACCCAACTGCGGAGGACAGATAGATAGGCTACGATTGAACGCTTGGATACACAGTGTTCCCTCACTTATCGCGGGTATTACGTTCCGGGACCACCCGCAAAAAGTGAAAATCCGCAAAGTAGGGATGCTATGTAACGTTGCCAACTGGGAGGCAAAAACCCACGAAACTACGAGTCCACGGAAAGCGAACCGCAAAGTAGCGAGGGAACACTGTATTACGTTTTGGCGTTTACGGAGACACGCAGCCTGAGGATACTCACCCAGGACCTTGATCTCCAGGAACTGAGAAGAGTTCCAGCCGGTCTCCTCATTGAACGCCTCGCAGGTGTAGTTCCCAGCTTGACTCACGTTCAGATTATCAATTAGCCAATTGCCCCCGTTATGGGTGTCGTTGTTAAAGCGCCAAGTGTACTGTGCAGGTGGGTTGGAGTCCGCGATGCAGGTGAGATTGAGACTGGAGCCCGTTGCGTAAAACGTTGTGTTGGGGCTGATAATGGGGTCACCGGGCCCATCTGGAGCAGATACAGGAGAAGGAGGTGTTGGGTCTTGGGTGGGATTTTGGGGGGCCAAAAGGGGGGCTAAAGCACCAAGGCATGGGTCAATGCACACCTGCATTTCGGGGAACCCAAGGGCACCTTTCGGGGCTCCAAAATTTACATTCTAAGTGATGTCTCTATTGATTAAGCAGAAAAGAGACGGACATGGAAACATCCTTTTTGGAGATTCAAACTTTTGCTGAGAAAGGGCAATGCAAACCTGTTCTGTGTGTGTGTGTGTGTATATATATATATGTATGTGTGTGTGTGTGTGTGTGTGTGTGTGTGTGTGTGTGTGTATATATATATATATATATATATATATATAAACTAGCCGTCTGCAAGTCGCTTCTGGTGGCTTCTGACTGTGTATTTTTTTGTGTGTGTATGTATGTATGTGTGTGTGTGTGTGTGTGTGTGTGTGTGTGTGTGTATGTGTGTGTGTGTGTGTGTGTGTGTGTATATATATATATATATATATATATATATATATATATATATGTGGGTGCATATATGTGTGTGTATATATGTGTGCATATATTTGTGTATATGTGCTTGTCTATATGCATATTTGTGTGTATATTTGTGTATATGTATGTATATATGTACATGTGTGTGTATATGTATATATATGTATGTGTGCATATGTATGTGTCTATATGTGTATATTGTGGTGGGATTGTGGCGCAGCCGGCTGAGTGTCAGCTGCATTAAGATCACTCTGACCAGAAGGTCATGAGTTCGAAGCCAGCCCGGGTCGGAGTGAGCTTCCAGCCAATTTTGTGTAGCTTGTTGTCGACCTTTGCAACCGAAAGACAGTTGCATCTGTCAAGTAGGAAAATAAGGTACCACCTTAAAAGTGTGGGGAGGCTAAATTAACTGATTTATGAGGCCATGAAGAAGACTCCAGCAAAGCATTCCAGCGGGGAAGCATGCGGGGAATGCGGAAGTGCTTCATCAGCGTCACAGATGGACGAGGAAAGCGACAGAAAAAGTTAAACAGCCTCTGTGTATGTCTGTATATGTTTGTATGTCAAAAATTGGCATTGAATTGAAGGGCGGAATAGAAAAGCTGTAAATAAATAAATAAATAAATATATTTGTGTGTGTTTGTGTGTATACACACACACACACACACATATATATACACACATGTGTGTGTATGAATGTGTGCATGTGTATATGTATATGAGTGTATTTGTATATGTATATACGGTGTATTTTCGGGGTTTTAAGTCTGTTCTGCTGGGGTTTTGTGTGTCCGTGCGTGCATGTGTTCATGGGTGATGGACACTCGTTGGACTGTTAGGTGTCTTGTGTCCAAATTTTGTGTCAATTCTCCCATTGGTTTTTGAGTTATGTTAATCCCACAAACGACCATTACATTTATATATATATATATATATATAAGATATATGCTGTGTTTCTGCAATAAGGACCAAGGAATCGAAATGATCTTCCCAAACCGAAAAATACTTCCATGCAAGCTGGGAATGGCTTTCAGTATTTGGAAACTGAGTTCAGTTTGGGAATTATTACCCAGATATTATTATTATTATTATTATTATTATTATTATTACTCCGCTTTATCTCCACAAAGGGGACTCAAAGCGGCAGACAGTTTTAATAACAAATTGCAAACTTCCACTCTACGCCTAACTTTTGTTTCCTGTATTTTAATATGTATTTATGGAAATATGTTTTCAATATGTGTATTCTACGGAGTGTTTGTGTGATTTGATTGTGTGTTTTAGTAATGTTGTGATGCACCCAGAGGCGGCCCTAGGTAATTTTTAACGGTAAGCAAACAGTATTTTGGCCCCCTCCCCCAACCAATCATTGATATATATTTTCCATTTGTCGTGGGAGTTCTGTGTGCCATATTTGGTTCAATTCCATCATTGGTGGAGTTCAGAATGCTCTTTGATTGTAGGTGAACTATACATCCCAATAACTACAACACCCAAATGTCAAGGTCTATTTCCCCCAAACTCTAGCAGAGTTCACATTTGGGCATATTGATTTTCATGTCAAATTTGGTCCAGATTCATTATTGTTTGAGTCCACACTGCTCTCTGGATGTAGGTGAACTACAACTCCCAAACTCAAGGTCAATGCCCACCAAACCCTTCAGTATTTTCTGTTGGTCATGGGATTTCTGTGTGCCATATTTGGTTCAATTCTATCATTGGTGGAGTTCAGAATGCTCTTTGATTGTAGGTGAACTATACATCCCAGTAACTACACTTGCCGCACTTGCTCCCTTGCCTGGCCCGCTTTGGGTCCGGAGGTGTGCCTGAAGACCCCGGCGTGTGCACCAAAAGTCACCTCTTCTCCTGACTTTCTCCTCAGCCACTGGGACTAAGAGAGAGAGAAAGAGAGAGAGAGAGGTGGAGAGGCCCACCTTTCCTGAAGGTAGGCGCAAAAACAAAGGAGGGAGCGGAGGTGGGAGATATCTCCAGCCGGAGGGGCTCTCTCTCTCTCTCTCTCTTGGTCCCAATGGCTGAAGAGAAAGTCAGGAGAAGAGGCAACTTTTGGTGCGCACGCTGGGTCTTCAGACACGCCTCCGGACCCGAAGCGGGCCAGGCGGCGGCTCCGCCCCTTGGCCCACCCGCGGATTGGGGAGAGGAGAGGAGGCGGGTGGAGCGCCGGGGGATCGGTAAAGGGAGCCGGTCATGGGGAAGGGATCGAACACAGAGAACAATTGAGCGCCGGCTCTGCTCGCGCACCCGGTGGCCGGGTGGAGCAGGAACGAGAGGGGCTAGGCGAGGCTCAAGGGCCCGGCCCCTTTGGGAAGAGGATCACCCGGCAGCGAGGCAAGAAAGCCGAGGCTCCCCCCGGACTGCTAGGGCTGTTGTGAGCTGAGGGGGCGCTCCTCAAGTGGCGGTCGAGGGGCATTTACAGAGGCGCCTCTGCGCCCCTGGCAAAAAAAAGTGTTCTGCGACCGCTTACTTCGCGTAATGGAAGAGCCGCCTCTGGATGCACCTCAAGCCGTGAGGAGAGGCAGAGAAGAAATAAAACTATCGTTGGGATGCTGTGAGTTTTCTGGGCTGCTCTGGCCATGTTCCAGAAGCATTCTCTCCTGACGTTTCGCCCACATCTGTGGCAGGGTTTTTCGTGATTTTTAGCAATGGTTTTGCAAGTTCCTTCCTGTGAAACAAACCCTTCTCTATTTCAGAGGAACTCACTAGTGGCCTAAAATGGGAAGGAAGTTCAGCCTGCCGGGACGCTGGGCCCAAATATTTATATCCTGCTATTTTTAGGCACTTGCTGTCGACTTGAAACTAGGTGTTTTGGGTTTTTTTTTCTTACAATGTTTTTAGATATATATTATGAAGCATATTCAAAGTCTTGCTTGTGGGGAAAGCGGAACTGGAAAGCAAGGACGTCAACCCTTCAAAGGCACTTGCAGATTTCGGTTTTCTAGGCATGCCTCAAAAGTGGAATTTTTTGGACACAGGGCGCATTGACATTGTAGAAGGAATGCACATTGGCATCCCTTTCACTGCCATAGCTCAATGCCATAGAATCTGTAAGTTGTAGTTTTTCAAGGCCCTTCGTCTTGTGCTACAGACTCCTGGGAGTTGCCGTTTTATAAAGCCCTTTCGCAATATCTTATGGACTTCTGGGAGTTGTAGTTTTACAGGACCTTTCACTTTGTGCTATGGATTCCTGGGAGTTGTAATTTTATTAGCCCTTTCGTCTTGTGCTACAAACTCTTGGAAGTTGTAGTTTTATAAAGCCTTTCGCATTATGTTACGGACTTGTGGGAGTTGTAGTTTTCCAAGGACTTTGTGCTATGGATTCCTGGGAGTTGTAGTTTTACAAGGCCTTTTGCCTTACACTATGGACCCTTAGAAGTTGTAGTTTTCCAAGGCTTTTCGCCTTATGCTACAGACCCTTGAACTTTTTAGTTTTATAAAGCCTTTCGCATTATGTTAGAGACTCATGAGAGTTGTAGTTTTACAAGGCCTTTTGCCTTACACTATGGACCCTTAGAAGTTGTAGTTTTCCAAGGCTTTTCGCCTTATGCTACAGACCCTTGAACTTTTTAGTTTTATAAAGCCTTTTGCATTATGTTAGAGACTCATGAGAGTTGTAGTTTTACAAGGCCTTTTGCCTTACGCTATGGACCCTTAGAAGTTGTAGTTTTCCAAGGCTTTCCGCCTTATGCTACAGACCCTTGAACTTTTTAGTTTTATAAAGCCTTTCGCATTATGTTAGAGACTCATGAGAGTTGTAGTTTTACAAGGCCTTTTGCCTTACACTATGGACCCTTAGAAGTTGTAGTTTTCCAAGGCTTTTCGCCTTATGCTACAGACCCTTGAACTTTTTAGTTTTATAAAGCCTTTCGCATTATGTTAGAGACTCATGAGAGTTGTAGTTTTACAAGGCCTTTTGCCTTACGCTATGGACCCTTAGAAGTTGTAGTTTTCCAAGGCTTTCCGCCTTATGCTACAGACCCTTGAACTTTTTAGTTTTATAAAGCCTTTCGCATTATGTTAGAGACTCATGAGAGTTGTAGTTTTACAAGGCCTTTTGCCTTACGCTATGGACCCTTAGAAGTTGTAGTTTCCAAGGCTTTTCGCCTTATGCTACAGACTCTTGAAATCTGTCGTTTTATAAAGCCTTTCGCATTATGTTAGAGACTCATGAGAGTTGTAGTTTTACAAGGCCTTTTGCCTTACGCTATGGACCCTTAGAAGTTGTAGTTTTCCAAGGCTTTCCGCCTTATGCTACAGACCCTTGAACTTTTTAGTTTTATAAAGCCTTTCGCATTATGTTAGAGACTCATGAGAGTTGTAGTTTTACAAGGCCTTTTGCCTTACACTATGGACCCTTAGAAGTTGTAGTTTTCCAAGGCTTTTCGCCTTATGCTACAGACCCTTGAACTTTTTAGTTTTATAAAGCCTTTTGCATTATGTTAGAGACTCATGAGAGTTGTAGTTTTACAAGGCCTTTTGCCTTATGCTACAAGCTCCTGAAAATTGTAGTTTTGCAACGCCCTTTGCCTTACGCTATGGACTCTTGGAAGTAGTCGTTTCACAAGGCCTTTCGCCTTGTGCTACTGACTCCTGGGAGTTGTAGTTTTCCAAGGCCTTTTGTCTTATACTACAGACTCTGAGAAGTTATAGTTTGACCCTTTGCGTCATGCTACGGACTCCCGGGAGTTTTCCTCCTCTGCTAAATGGCGCAGGTTCCTCACCAAACTACAACTCCCGGGATTCCTTAACATTTAACCATGGCAACTAAAAACTTTCAATTCTACAATGTAGATGCACCCTGAGCAAAATAAAAGAGGATTTGGACACGAAGCTCACAACATTAGAAATATACCAGTGTTCGAATCATGTATGTTTGGTAAATGTGGACTTCTCAATTATTATCATTTTAAAATATTTATCATTTTTGTTGTTGTGATTGTTGTGATTGTTGTTGTGATTGTTGTGGTTTTAACTACTTCTTCCACCCTGCTCTCCTCCCTTAAATGAGACCCAAAGTGGCCAAAAAGGCTCTCGATGCCTTCTTGGAACGGAGTCACCCCCAAACCCCAATATTTCCATTCACTTTCAACCTTCCTTTGAGAGTCAAACCCAGACTTACAGAAAACATCGAGCGAATAGGTGTTGTTGCTACTAGAAAGGCTGTTATTGGCGTAACAGGTGTAGTCGCCGGAGTCTGACCGGACCGTTGCGTTGAACGTTAGGTTGCGGTTATCGTCGCTCAAGGAGATGCGATCGTCGCTTGCCAAGATCTGGTCCCCTTTGGACCAGAAGTAGGAGACCTCGGTGCCGTCGGCATTGCAAGTCAGAGTCGTGACAGTCCCTTCCACAACCTTACTGGGATTACTGGTGATGTTGACATTTCTAACGGGTTCTGTGGAGAAAAAAAGGGGGGAATGAAGGGAGATGGATGAAGGTTATCCAAAGGAGAAGTCATGGAACTCGATCCGGAGTCTCATTTTGGGAAGAGATGCACCTTGTGGTGGTCTCTTCCACAACCTTACTGGGATTACTGGTGATGTTGACATTTCTAATGGGTTCTGCAGAGAAAGAAAAGGGGGGTGAAGGGAGAAGGATGGGGGTTATCCAAAGGAGAAGTCATGGAACTCAATCCGGAGTCTCATTTTGGGAAAAGATGCACTTTGTGGTGGTCCCTTCCACAACCTTACTGGGATTACTGGTGATGTTGACATTTCTAATGGGTTCTGCAGGGAAAAAAAGGGGGGGGGGGATGAAGGGAGAAGGATGGGGGTTATCCAAAGGAGAAGTCATGGAACTCGATCCGGAGACTTGTTTTGGGAAGAGATGCACCATTGGAACTCAATCTGGAATCTCGTTTTGGGAAGAGGATCCAATGAAGCGTCTCCATTTCCAAAGCCTTGCTATACAACACAGATGCAAAGAACTTGCATACTTCAGACCTTAATTTGCTCCAAGAGAGAAAACAGAATAGATGATAAGCTTTCCAAAGTTGCAGAAACTCTTAAGCTTTGCAAAGTTGCAGAAACTTCAATAAACCCCAACGGCGGATGCCAAGGAACGGAGCGCACAAATGGAACCACTTTCGACTTCATCTGTCCGCATGGGTTTGCCGCAACATCAGACAAATCAATACGAATGAGATCATGGATCTTAGTATTTTTTTCCCCCAAAAAGTTTGCTGGCAAATTTGGAAATGACCAGAGTGAATTACATTTATGGATCCGGCGCAAAGCAATGCGGAAACGTCTGCTCCGTTTTTGGAACGGAGACCATCAAACCCAAGACAACGAAGAAGACAGAGAAGTACTTTGAAAGATTTTGGACAGGAGGGCAAATGGAAGAAAGTTGTTTACAAACATTGCTCTGAAATTCTGGGCCAACGTGAAGCACTCGACAAGCAATGTTTCGAAGGAAAGATCTTGGAAAGAGGACACACAAAAGAAGGGATTTCCAGGAGACAATGCACGCAATTTGTGTTGCTTGTCAGAGTTGTTATACGGATTGCGAAACAAGTAGGAGAAACTGGGTTGTTGTAGATTTTTCGTGCTATATGGCCATGTTCTAGAACAGTGTTTCTCAACCTGGGGGTCGGGACCCCTGTGGGGGTCACGAGGGGGTGTCAGAGGGGTCACCAAAGACCATCAGAAAACATAGTATTTTCTGTTGGTCATGGGGGTTCTGTGTGGGAAGTTTGGTCCAATTCTATCATTGGTGGGGTTCAGAATGTTATTTTGTAGGTGAACTATAAATCCCAGAAACTACAACTCCCAAATGTCAAGGTCTATTTTCCCCAAACTCCCGTGTTCACATTTGGGCATATTGAGTATGGTGTCAAGTTTGGTCCTGATCCATCATTGTTTGAGTCCACAGTTCTCTGGATGTAGGTGAACTACAACTCCAAAACTCAAGGTCAATGCCCACCAACCTTTCCAGTATTTTCTATTGGTCATAGGGGTCATGGGAGCCAAGTTTGGTTCAAATCCATTGCTGGTGGAGTTCAGAATGCTCTTTGATTATAGGTGAACTATAAATCCCAGCAACTACAACTCCCAAATTACAAAATCAGTCCTTCCCCAACCTCACTAGCATTTACATGTGGGTGCATTGGGTATTTGTGCCCAGTTTGGTCCAGTAAATGAAAATACATCTTGCATATCAGATATTTACATTACAATTCCTAACAGTAGCAAAATTACAGTTACGAAATAGCAATGAAAATGTGATGGTTGGGGGTCACCACAACGTTAGGAACTGTACTAAGGGGTCACGGCATTAGAAAGGTTGAGAACCACTGTTCTAGAAGCATTCTCTCCTGATGTTTCGCCTGCATCTATGGCAGACATCCTCAGAGGTTGTGACCTCTCAATCTCTGAGGATGCTTGCTGTAGATGCAGGCGAAACATCAGGAGAGAATGCTTCTAGAACATGGCCCAAAAAACCTACAACAACCTAGTGATTCCGGCCATTAAAACCTTCGACAATACAAGTAGGAAAAAGTTTGGGAATTTTGAGGAAAGACAGGCGTTCGGAGGCTACAATTGTTTTGGGAACGAGTGCAATTTGTGTAAACAGTGCCCAAAGAAGCCATATTTTGACACCTGATGCGCAAAGACAGTGTGTGGCACCCAAATGAATGACCAAGAGTGTGGCTCGAGCTCAAGCGAAGGCGACAGCGGGTCAAGACGGCCGCAGGACAGAGACGGTCCTTTGGGGTTCGGATAGAGAGTGACCGCTACTCACCCAGGACGGTGACCTGCACGGAGCTGGTGTTGGAAAGGCCGGTGTTGGCGTTGGACGCATTGCAAAGGTAGGTGCCGGAATCGGAAGTCGAAAGGCCCGAGATCACGTACTGAGCGTCATTTCCAATAGGCAGCGAAGCATTGCTAAAGTACCAAGTGTAGGTTGCAGGGGGGTCGGAGTCAGCCCTGCAGGTCAGGCTCAGGTTGGTGTCGGCCAGGTAAAGCCGCTGCCTGGGTTCAATGGCGACCGAGTCGGGCCCGTCTGGAGTAAACACAGGAAAGGCCCCGGTTGCACCAACAGCAGGTTGAGACATGGCTTGGCTATAGCCATCCTGGTATCCATATGCAAACCTTTGCGCATCCTTTGCATGCCCTTCCCATATTATTACACTGAGTAGATAATTTGGCCTTAAACATGGGATTTGCCTGCCTGCTTTTTCTGTACGGAGTGTTCCAGATATAGGGAGCCATAGCAAACCCTATACTAGCTATTGACCCTATATAATAACAGTAACAACAACAACAACAACAAGGCTGATGTAGGTTTAGATTTATATTGCACTCTACTTGGCAAATCTTAGATTATCAACTGAGCCTATATTATTATTATTATTATTATTATTATTATTATTATTATTGTATTGTTGAAGGCTTTCATGGCCGGAATCACTGGGTTGTTGTAGGTTTTTTCCGGGCTATATGGCCATGTTCTAGAGGCATTCTCTCCTGACGTTTCGCCTGCATCTATGGCAAGCATCCTCAGAGGTAGTGAGGTCTGTTGGAAGTAGGAAAATGGGTTTGTATATCTGTGGAATGACCAGGGTGGGACAAAGGACTCTTGTCTGCTGGAGCTAGGTGTGAATGTTTCAATGTTTTCGATGGTGGTCTCCTCCCTCCAGCAGACAAGAGTCCTTTGTCCCACCCTGGTCATTCCACAGATATATAAACCCATTTTCCTAGTTCCAACAAACCTCACTACCTCTGAGGATGCTTGCCATAGATGCAGGCGAAACGTCAGGAGAGAATGCCTCTAGAACATGGCCATATAGCCCGAAAAAACCTACAACACCTTATTATTATTATTATTATTATTATTATTATTATTATTATTATTATTATTATTACTATTATAGCAACTGAGCCTATATTACAATCATGTTGTTGTTGTTGCTGTTGCTGCTGCTGCTTGAGATTTATATCCCACTCTACTTGGCAAACTGTATATTAGCAACTATATTACTATTGTCATATTACTACTACTATTACTACTACTACTATTGCTGCTGCTTTAGACTTATATCCCACTCTATTTGGCAAACTCTATATTAGCAACTGAGTCTATATTACTATTGTCATATTACTACTACTATTACTACTACTACTATTGCTGCTGCTTTAGACTTATATCCCACTATTTGGCAAACTCTATATTAGCAACTGAGTCTATATTACTATCGTCATATTACTACTACTACTACTACTACTACTGCTGCTTGCTGCTGCTTTAGACTAATATCCCACTCTATTTGGCAAACTCTATATTAGCAACTAAGTCTATATTACTATCGTCATATTACTACTACTACTACTACTACTACTACTACTAATATTGCTGCTGCTTTAGATGTATATCCCATGCTACTTGGCAAACCCCAACCCCCCTCTACTCAGAAAACCCTATATTAGCAACTGAGCCTATATTACTATTACTATTATTAAGCAGCTGAGGGGGGAAAGGAAAGGGCCTAAGGCTGTGAGGAATTGTGGGAGTTGAAGTCCAAAACCTTTGTAGGGCCGAATTTGCCCATGCCTGTTCTACACTGTAGATGCTCCACTCTTTCTGACAAGACTGGAAGTAAAGCTGGCAGGTTTGTGGGTGCAAAGGGAGGAATCTCAGGGTGAGAGGGTTGCCTTTTTTAAAGAAATAAATGGGCATGGCCTTTCTGCAAGAGAGAAATGCGCAGCGTTGTGTGCATTCGGGATGGTGTTGCAAGGGGGGGTCTCAACTTTGCAAACAGGAGTTACAAAACAGCAAGGGCTAAGGGATGGGCTTGGAGTAGGAGACAAGCCAGACTTACAGTAGACTCTCAGCTCAAAGGGAAGGCTTTCATTGGCGGAGAAGCTGTTGTTCCCAAAGCAAGTGTAGAGGCCGGTGTCCTCTCTGGTTGTGCTGTTGAACGTCAGGACTTGGCTGTTGTTCGTCAGAGAGATGTGTCCGTTGGCGCTGACCGATTCGTTTCCCTTGAGCCAGTAGTAAGAGACATTGAAGCCGAAAGAAGTGCACTTCAGAGTGACCGGATTGGGCTCTGTGACGCTGTGTGGGCCCTGGATGGAGACGCCATAGACACCTCCTTCTGCGGACAGAAAACCGGCACGTGTCCTTCCAATGCAACACCTCCACCAGGGACAGGTGTGGGACGGAGACAGGTGCGCAGCAACGACAGAGAGGAGTGGGATTCGGAAGCCAACGGGGCCACAAAAATCAGGAAAGACAGCGACAACCAAGGAAAATAATGAAGTTGTGGGACAGGAGAGAAGGTCGTAAGCCAAACATACGGTGAGAAAAGGGGCCTAGTGTAAATAAATAGAGCAATGATGATGATGATGAGGCCTTGCAAGCAATGTCACGGGTGATTCAGGATGTGCGCCCAGGGAAAATGAGACTCAGCAAGGACATCATTCCAAAATCAGATAGCCATCATCATCAGGATAATCGTAATAGGATCTCTCCAAGGGTGCATGGAAGTACCCTTCTGTTGGAAGGGCTCTGGGATCCTCAAAGGCCATCCAGTCCAACCCTTTTGGCCATTCAGGAAGACACCACCTGATCCATCTTGACAGGTGGTCATCCAGCCTGTGTTGGAACACTTCCATAGAATCCTAGACCTGGAAGGGACCCCCAAAGGCCATCCAACCCAACACCTTTGGGTCAATCAATAATAGGATCTCTCCAAGGGTGGAACACTTCCATAGAACTCTAGACCTCGAAAGGCCATCCAGCCCAACCCCTTTGGCCAAATAATGATAGGATCTCTCCAAGGGTGCATGAAAGCCAACATCTGCTGGAAGGACTTTGTGTCCACTGAATCATAGACTTGGAAGGGACCCTCAAAGGCCATCCAGTCCAATCCTGTTTGGCCATTAAGGAAGACACCATTCAATCCATCTTGACAGATGGTCATCCAGCCAGTGAAGGAACACTTATATAGAATCCTAGACCTGGAAGGGGCCCCCAAAGGCCATCCAGTCCAACCCCTTTCAGCCAATCAATAATAGGATCTCTCCAAGGGTGCATGAAAGCTAATGTCTGTTGGAAGGACTTTGTGTCCACTGAATCGCAGACTTTGAAGGGACCTCCAAAGGCCATCCAATCCAATCCTGTTTGGCCATTAAGGAAGGCACCATCTGATCTATCTTGACAGGTGGTCATCCAGCCTGTATCGGAACAATTCCATAGAATCCTAGACCTGGAAGGGGCCTCCAAAGGCCATCCAGTCCAACCCCTTTCAGCCATTCAGGAAGACACCATCTGATCCATCTTGGCAGATGGTTATCATACCTGTGTTGGGACACTTCCATAGACTCCTTGACCTGTACGGTACCCGCAAAGGCCATCCAGTCCAACCCCTTTCGGCCATTCAGAAAGATACCATCTGATCCATCTTGACAGATGGTCATCCAGCCTGTGTTGGAACACTTCCACAGAATCCTAGACCTGGAAGGGACTCCCAAAGGCCATCTAGTCCAACCCCTTTCGGCCATTCAGAAAGATACCATCTGATCCATCTTGACAGATGGTCATCCAGCCTGTGTTGGAACACTTCCACAGAATCCTAGACCTGGAAGGGACTCCCAAAGGCCATCTAGTCCAACCCCTTTTGGCCATTCGGATACCATCTGATCCATCTTGACAGATGGTCATCCAGCTGGTGTTGGGACACTTCCATAGAATCCTTGACCTGTAGGGAGCCCACAAAGGCCATCCAGTCCAACCCCTTTTGGTCATTCAGAAAGATGCCATCTGATCCATCTTGGCAGATGGTTATCATACCTGTGTTGGGACACTTCCATAGAATCCTTGACCTGTAGGGGACCACCAAAGGCCATCCAGTCCAACCCCTTTCGGCCACTCAGAAAGATACCATCTGATCCATCTTGACAGATGGTCATCCAGCCTGTGGCTCTATTCCTGGAGCCTGACAAAGAGGAGACGGAGTGGCCGTTCTCCATGGTTGACCCCATTCCAACCCCATTGTACTTGGAGGAGCCTCCTTCATGTATTTACCCAGGTGCCTGCACACTCCTGGTTCAAGCTGTTCCTCCCGTTGATTTATTGAAAGCGAAGTGCGTCAAACCCATTTTGGAAGGCGTGGGCACGATTGTCCGAACGCCGCCGTTGCATTCATTTCAAACACAAAGGTGATCCTGCACCAAGGCATGGACCATGAATGAAAGGGAGCCCGTCAACAACATCTCAGCTCCACTCAAGGGCAGATGCACATTGCCATTCCTCTTTGGGAAACAATGCACTCTTATCACGCTCGCTGGGGAGTTGTCTGGAGCAGCGACATGTGGGGAGGAAAATAAAATATGACCCTTGGAAAGCTCCTTGACACCCATCCAGGAACATGCCCGTCCTTCTCAATGATTTACCTCTTTCTTGGGAATTATTTTCCAAACTCTTTCAACGGGGCAGAAAGATTTAAGGCTTTGTTATTGGAAAGATAACTTTCCTCCACTCGGAGGGAAGATATAACATTGTTTGCAATGTTTGGGGGAAAATAATAATATAGAATGACATTGACTAATCTGGATAAATTGGGTCAGCTTGCAACTAATGACACTTACAACAACTCACTGTCTGGAGTTTTTTCAACAGAGGTTGGATGGCCATCTGTTGGGAGGGCTTTGAAGGTGTCCAGAAAGGAGGTTGACTGGATGGCCCCCTGATACACACACACACACACACACAAAATGTCTTCCAACATCATTGTCTGGAGGGTTTTCAACAGAGGTTGGATGGCCATCTGTTGGGAGGGCTTTGAAGGTGTCCAGAAAGGAGGTTGACTGGATGCCCCCCTGACACACACAATCTCTTCCAACATCATTGTCTGGAGGTTTTTCAACAGAGGTTGGATGGCCATCTGTTGGGAGGGCTTTGATGGTGTCCAGAATGGAGGTTGGCTGGATGGCCTCCTGACACACACACACACACAACCTCTTCCAAAGGTCATCCAGTCCAACCTTTTGGCCATTAAGACACCATCCGATCCATCTTGACAGATGGTCATCATACCTGTGTTGGGACACTTCCATAGAATCCTAGATCTGGAGGTTTTTTCAACAGAGGCTCTATGGCCATCTGTTGGGAGGGCTTTGAAGGTGTCCAGAAAGGAGGTTGACTGGATGCCCCCCTGACACACACAATCTCTTCCAACATCATTGTCTGGAGGTTTTTCAACAGAGGTTGGATGGCCATCTGTTGGGAGGGCTTTGAAGGTTGGCTGGATGGCCTCCTGACACACAACCTCTTCCAAAGGCCATCCAGTCCAACCTTTTGGCCATTAAGACACCATTCGATCCATCTTGACAGATGGTCATCATACCTGTGTTGGGACACTTCCATAGAATCCTAGATCTGGAGGTTTTTTCAACAGAAGCTTTATGGCCATCTGTCAGGAGGGCTTTGAAGGTGTCCAGAAAGGGGGTTGACTGGATGGCTTTTGGGGGTCCCTTCCCAATGTAGCATTCCATGGACTCCATTGTCCAGAGTTGAAGCTTGAACACTCAAGCCACGATGTCCCATCGCTTTTGTAATATATCTTACTATATGAAACTAAGACGGTAGATGAGGAAATGGCAAGGAAAAGGAAGAAGGAAGGGATGCACCTGAGGAAGGGGAAAAGGAGAAGTGAGCACCAAACCAACCAGGATGGGGTGGAAGCGGGCGCTGAAGGAACGCCCCATGGGGTCAGAGCGTGACAGGTGACAGGTGGTGAGGATTTCTCATGACTGTTATGATCACCTGGTTGCCTCTCCCAATCAAGGCCCAAAGTGGCTCCCGTGGGTGGAAACGTGGGTGGAAACCAAAGCTGACAACCGCCCGAAGAGTGAAAAAATGGACAGAAGGAATGGTGGGTCCTTAAACCAAAGCCGTTGACCATCCAAAGCGTGACAAAGAGGCAGGAGAAACGTCCAGCTGGAGTGTGTGGCCACCTCGGGTGACGGACAGTGGCCTGGAGCTACTCACCCACCACCTTGATGTCCAGCGTGCGGTTGGCCTTGTCTCCCGACATGAGGTTTTCCGCTTCGCAGGTGTATTTCCCACTCTGCTTTGGACCCACATTCGGGGCGATGAAGTTATCTCCATGGCCAACAACAAAGCCATCGTAGATCCAGGTGTATTCCGCCGGCGGATAGCAATCAGCCTCACAGAGGAGGTTGATTTCCATGTGTTCGTAGTAAACCTCCTTACTTGGGATGATTACGGGACGGTCGGGTCCGTCTAGAGCAAACACAACAAAGCTCACACGTCGGCCAAAGGGGAGATGGAGCTCCCCTCCGCGTCCCCTTTGGGAAGGTTCCTCCACCGGAAGGAGTTCGGGAAGACAGGTTTCGGAAAGAAGGGAAAGTGACAGACGAGGAGAACTCTGCCCGAAGAGAGGAGATGTCAACAAGGGACTTGGTCTTCTCTAAGTAATAGGAAAGGTCTGTCCACGGAAGGCCTTCCTCCTCGACCAATTTGCACATTGGGAAGGGTGTTTCCTAACTAATGAAACATATATTTGTAATGTGGTTACAAAATGTGTTTTCAAAGTGAGGACAATTACAAAAATATAAACCTGGAAAAGAATGCAGATCAGATCTGCTTTGCTAGAAGACACCACAGCACATCCATCTATCTA